CGCTCCGCAGCCTCGCTCGAAGAAGCGGCGGCCGACGTTTCGCCGCCTGCTGAAGACGAGCGGCGTGAAGCTGGAGAACAAGCTGAAGAACCGCCAGCTGAAGCAGCAGAACGTCGCCAAGAAGCAGCGCAAGGAGCAGAAAAGGCTGAGGCAGGCGGTGAAGGGCGCCGTGGGCGAAACGCCCCGCCCCCTGGAGACGTACAGGAAGAGACCAGGTGAGCGGCAAACGATCACGTGATTACTAACGTCTGCTGTAAACCAATCAGAGACCAGAACTGTCTGACCCTGCTCCTGCTCGTGCAGAGGAGGAGGAGGAGGAGGAGGAGTTTCTGGAGAGCCTGCCCACAGACATGATGGAGCAGGAAGACCTGCAGCAGATGACCGCCATGGCTCGCCAGGCGTCCTTCATCACCAGGGACCTGTCGTCATGGTAACTCCAACACACACACACACCATATTTAGATGTGATGCGCAGTGACTGAGGTGCGTTTGTGGGATGCGGCGGGGCGTCCCAGCGGGCCGGTGCATGGCGGGAAGAAGCGGAAATCGGACGTAGCTCGCAGCTACGAGAAGGTTCCCAGGAAGATGGCGAGGACGGAGGAAAAGGAAGTGATCCACCTGCTGCCGATCAAAGACAAGACGGGCGTGATCCCACAGAGCGTCGAGAGGGGTACGGCGTGCTGCGTTGATCGCTGATCGATCTGATTGGTTCTCTGTGGCTGTGTCGAAACGTCTCGCTCTCTTCTTTCAGTGGTGGCGAAGCAGCCGGAGGAGGAGGAGCAGGGGGAGGAGCAGGAGGAGGAGCCTGATGACGTCGACGCAGGTATGAGGAGCAATCAGAACGCACGGCGGGGTAAACGCCTCCGTGGCGTCCTCTCATCTGTCACGCGTCCTCCTTGCAGAGGCGGAGCCACCGAGCTGCCAGGAGATGACGCCGGCGCAGAGAGAGCGGCTCAGGAATCAGAAGCTCAATGAGAGGAAGCTGACCATCGCCGGCCTGGCGTCGGCCATCGTGTCGGACCCCATCGGCAGCGTAAGGCCGGGCGCCGCTCTGGGATCAGGCTCGTGGCGTGTATGCGTGTGTTTAACGTGACGTCGTGTGTGACAGATAAAGCGCGTGAAGGAGCTGCGGGGGATGCTGATGGAGGCCGACCCCAGCGTGGCGGTGACGGTCAGAAAGCTGGTGATGGTGTCTTTGATGGAGGTCTTCAAAGACATCGCCCCCACCTACAGGATCCGACCTCTGACCTCAGCGGAGAAGACCGCTAAGGTGCGTTTGTGAGTTTGTTTGTAGAGGAAGCGCCCGGCGGCAGGTCGCCACGGTCGCCACGTTTTAACCCGCTGCTTCTGCCGCTCGCCGTCTTCCAGGTGAAGAAGGAGACGCAGGTGCTGCGAGAGTTCGAGGAGGGTTTGGTGAGTCAGTACAAGTTCTACCTGGAGGACCTGGAGCAGACCGTCAAAGGTACGCCGCCGTCACCATAGCAACAGCCACACACTGACACCCGCACACCTCACGGCGCCCTGACCGCTCATCTCCGCCCACAGACTGGAAGCAGAAGAAGAAGAAGCGCAGTCAGGCGGTGGCGCTGCAGGCGTACGGCGGGCTGGCCGAGGTCGCCGTACGCTGCCTGTGCGAGCTGCTCGTCGCTCTGCCTCACTTCAACTTCCACAACAACGTTGTGGTCGTCCTGGCGCCGCTGATGAACGACTCCACCAAGAAGGTGGGTCTCACGGGCGCCGCGGCCCGGCCCAGCGTTGTGCGACGCCTTCACGTGCTCTTTTGTTTCAGGTGTCCGGCATGTGCTGCGACGCGTTCAGGAAGCTCTTCCAGCAGGACAGAGCGGGCGGGGCCTCGCTGGCCACGGTGCGAGTCATCTCCGGCCTCGTGAAGAGCCTGAACTACAACGTCCGACCCGAGGTAA